CCTAAAGCACATATATAACAGGCAAAAAGAAAAATATAAGAGACAGGTGTGTGTGTGTGTGTGTGTGTGTGTGTGTGTGTGTGTGTGTGTGTGTTTCTTTTTCAAGAACACAATGGTTTTTCCTTCATGTACGGAGGAGATGCTGTCAGCAAGGATCTTTCCCCCAAGTCACATGGCATGCCATTCCCTGGTTCGTGTTAAGAAGCTTCCCGGTCTCCGTTTGGTGCCAAGCGGGTTCCTTTTGTTGAACCTGTTCCAGAAGATTCCTGTAGATGATGGTGGCGTGCACTGTGATCATGACTGGGGCGCTCGGGCCAGGCCACACAGCCTCAGCCACCTGTAGATACTTTTTCTAAGTTCCACCTTTGATGTGCAGATATTCTGCAATCGAGTTTTGCTGCGGCTGAGCAGAAGAATGATCGTCGCAGTTGAATGCAAGCAGCTACTTGAAGTCAGCAGATAGACCTTCTTTATCCACGGAAACCATGGAACAACTGCTCATGTCTGCACAAAAGACAAAAACGACAACTACAACAGCTTCACTTGTCTGCACAATTGTCCGCTGGGCTAGTAAAAGAGCAGGCTTGGCAGTATGGCACTATCTTACCCGTCCATCTCTTCCCTGCCTTTTCCCCATGTTATGCCTGAGGTTACTCTGCCTTCCTTGTGACAATCAGAACATAGGAGGATACCCACACTAGGACTTGTTAGTCTGCATCTCTTTTGCCATTGTGGTCAGATACATCGAGGAAGTTTGCTTCGGCCGGCTTGCAGCGTGCATTTTTGCACTTTGACCGTTTGACGTGTGCATTGTGTACTGCTTCTCAGGCATGTGGTTTAAGAACTGCTTTCTTCCTGTGCCCAGTCATTGTATCTGTATCTGGCCTGAAATCTGCACTAAATAAGATCTAATGACCAGGTGTTGTATCTGTACCTGGCCTTGAAAGCTGCTTTAAAGCAGCTCTAATGATCAGGTGTTGTGTTCGGGGGAATGAGGTAGTCTTCACCCGAATATAACGTACTGTCAATTTTGCTGCATCTGGACTGACAGTTGGGCTAAATACAGACATAATGACCATACATTCTATTCGGGGGAAGACGGTAGTAGTGGAGTTCATCCTGCATGAATGTCATGCCCAAAGGACGAGCATTCCTTCACTGCTACTTCACACGTCATTGCTGCGGTCATATTGTACAAGGATCCCTTCTCTCACCCGGTGGCGTGTACGAGTGATGAAGTGGTACCATGATTGGACATGGGAGTGTGATGGGACATCTATATTCTTACGCCTTTTTCTTTTCCCCTTGTGCAGGAAATTATTGCCAGCTGTGGTGGATGGACTGGATTCTTCAAAGGAAATCTGACGAACGTGAGAGGCCCGCCCGCTTATGTTGCTTCTCGCACACTCTGCCTTGCTTACCTCTCAAGCACCTTGACAGATCTATTTCTGAAACCCCTTTGCCCTTAGACTGGATGTCTATTTATCCTTCTATTTGTATGTCTATTGGTCTATCTATCAATCTTCTTCTTTTTTCTCGGCTCAGGAAGTGTGGCCTGTCTACTGATCCAAATCGCATTGGCGGCCTTACCTTTGTATCCATGGTGTCCAGTGCGATGTCCATCCCATGCTCACCACCATCTCCACGCGTGCACTACCCGCATTCCCTGTTCTGTTCCGGAGTGAGTGTGCATGTGTGTGCGAGCACGCGCGCGCGCGCGCGAGAGAGAGAGAGAGAGAGGATGTTCCTAGATGTACCGCCTTGTTCTGCCAAATCCAGCCTGGAAAGTGGCGGTATGAGTATGCCCTGACAGAAAAGAAGTGACCGTCAACGGTCATGGGTTGTCCAAGGCAGATATGTAACTTGAACTCCCTAGGGGAAAGGGACAACATGCAAATGGGAGGTCTCGTGTAATACCGAGGATGCATCCGGACCTTTTTAATGGTCAAATTCTGTCAAATTCGTTGTGATGTGAGAATGCCCTTCAACAGAGTGGCAACTCAGGATGGCAGTCAATGTAGACAGGTTCTTCTTGCCCTTGCATAAGACGACTCATGCAGTGACCTCTCCTGTGAAGCATTGCATTTTGCGCGTGATTCAGAGGAGCACAAGAAACGAGAACAGGGTCCTGGAGGAAGAGAAGGAGGGGGAAAAAAGAGGGGTATTCTGGAAGGAATAGTAAGAGTGGCGGAAGGAGGGTGGAGGTAAGAGAGAGGGAAGCCGGCGTTGGAAATATTGTGATCCTCGTATGATATATCCATCAGCAGAATGCCGCACACAATTTTGCAGGGATAGTGAGGGATGTGCTTATTTGAAAGTTTCGTTTCATGTAGAAAAATAAAAGAAAAACTTGTGTGTACCACTGTGTAGTACTGTGTACTTGTGCATGTGGATGTGAGAAGAGAGGGAAGTTGAAGATGGTGGTATTATGAGACTTCATTTTTTTTTTTCCCTAGCAGACACCTTATGGGACTTTTTGGGCGGTCGATGATGTTGAAGATTTCAAATTTTCATGTTGGACACTTTCCTGATTTGGCAGGTTTCTATGGTGTGCATAACTGCTGCCTGCTTGTTTGAGTCCACAGGTTGTGAGAGCGACACCTCAGAAAGCCATTGATTTCTTCTCCTTTGAAGCATACAAGAAATATTTGCATCGGGTGGGCATTCGGGTGAGATGGCTGTTTCCCTCGCCATTGAACGGACAATCTTTCCATGCTGACATTCTGCAAATGGGAAATAGTTTTGATATTTTGGATGGGGTTATAACCCTCGATCAGTAGCCCAAAGTTTATCCCCCAACTTTGGAAATGTGCACCCCAAAAAAGGAAAAAAAAATGCGCTCAACCTTTGGCTATAATGCAGTTATTAACCTTGTGAATGGGACATGCTTAACCTTTGGCTACAGTGTGGTTGAGCTTACCCGCATAGGATTTAGTGATGTTTCACAAATGACGACTCCTGATTATTGCGTGAGCGTGTCAAAAGAAAGGACAGTGCGGTTGTGATGTAGGCTTATCGTCTCCTGGGAGGCACCGAAGATGGGAGGCGTTCGAGCAAACTGCACAAATATAGAGGGGCATTATAGTGAATGAGGAAAAATAATGGACGCATATCACAAAGGGCAAACTCACACTTGCACTTTCCTAAATGTATCTGACAGTCTGACTGCAATTACAGCCAGACCAGGATGAATCTGACGGCAATCAAGTCCAGAGCTTAAACCACCAGTACTTGGCCCAGCTATCGAATCCGAGCCTCGGCCGACTGGTATGCCGAGCCTTGCCGAGCCTGGAGCTACCAGCCGTACACTACCCTGACGCAGTTTTCAAGAAAGAAAGAAAGAAAAAAAAGAAAAAAAAAAGAAAAGCAATGAACGAAAAAAAACAAAAGGAAACAACACGGAAGCAAAACGCCCGCGTTTTCTTTTCTCACGGGGAGGGGGAGAGAGAGAGAGAGAGAGAGAGAGAGAGAGAGAGAGAGAGAGAGAGAGAGAGAGAGAGAGTTCCCACTTTTGCGCGGGAGATTCATTCTCATTTTGCAATGTTTGGAAGTGCGTACAGGGGGCCGAGAGAGAGAGAGAGAGAGAGAGAGAGAGAGAGAGAGAGAGAGAGAGAGAGAGAGAGAGAGAGAG